AGTCCTGGACCTGGCAGCTTGCTCTCTCACTTTCCCTTTCTCTCTCTCTCTGGTCAAATTAATAATAATAATAATAATAATAATAATAAACAACAACAACAAATAAAATAAATAATTATTTAAAAAAAAGAAGCTGAGGAAGCTGGAAGCACTAGGGCTAGTGCTCAACGGTGAGGCCTGAGCCCTGAGTTCAAATCCACCATGGGCCAGCTAGCTCTCAACTGTCCTAGCTGCAGGGACCTGTACCACAGTATGGGGATAGCTCAAGGGAGTGACAACTCCCTGGAAAGCATGGATCTCAGAGATAGTGTAGGCTACACACCTTGGTGGCTGGGAGTGGATGGGCTTAAATGCCCTTTTTCCTCTACCCTAAAAAACACGGCTCTGGCCTGGCGGCCATGCATGCATGCATTATTCATTCATTCAGCCATGGTTGGTTGGCACCCTCTGCACCAAGCACTGGGGGTGTAGCAGTAACAAGACAGACACAGCCTTGCCCTCAAGGACCTTGTCCCCTTGACCCTGCGGAAATCTGGTCAAATTAATAATAATAATAATAATAATAATAATAATAATAATAATAAACAACAACAAATAAAATAAATAATTATTTAAAAAAAAGAAGCTGAGGAAGCTGGAAGCACTAGGGCTAGTGCTCAACGGTGAGGCCTGAGCCCTGAGTTCAAATCCACCATGGGCCAGCTAGCTCTCAACTGTCCTAGCTGCAGGGACCTGTACCACAGTATGGGGATAGCTCAAGGGAGTGACAACTCCCTGGAAAGCATGGATCTCAGAGATAGTGTAGGCTACACACCTTGGTGGCTGGGAGTGGATGGGCTTAAATGCCCTTTTTCCTCTACCCTAAAAAACACGGCTCTGGCCTGGCGGCCATGCATGCATGCATTATTCATTCATTCAGCCATGGTTGGTTGGCACCCTCTGCACCAAGCACTGGGGGTGTAGCAGTAACAAGACAGACACAGCCTTGCCCTCAAGGACCTTGTCCCCTTGACCCTGCGGAAAGCAAAAACCAAACCAAACTCTTGCCCACAGCAAACTCAATGTTTTGGTGGAAGAGTAAGTGTCAGGGCTGGGGTGGGGTCTCCTTTTCTAAATAGGATCCCTGAGATTTGGGTCTGCCATTAGTTTTACTTCATCAGTTCTTTTCTAGTGGATTCTACTTGGAGACCAGTGTCTTGGCCTTCTGTCTGCTTTCTTACTGGTAAGAATTTAAAGAGAAACACACACATCTCTTCTAAGGGCAGTTAAAGGCCCACCCACAGACACAGAAACACCCAAACACACATACTTCTCTAATCTCCCTAAATCCCCCAAAGCCTTGGGGGGGTGGTAGTAGTGGCTTCTCTGCAGCCACAGTCAGCTCAGGGGAGACCAGCTGGGAGGCGTGGGGGCAGTGATCCGCCATACCCCACAGCCCTTTCCCCTGGGCTGGTCTCCATCCCAGTCCTCACACCTGACCTGCCCAGCTGCTGGGAGGTGAATGAGTGTGCTTGGGCAAACATCCTTGCAGTTTCCTGCTGCTCCCCTCTGAGAAAACAGAACTCTTCTTCCTCCTCCTTTCCCCCCACACCCTCTCAGCTGGGGCTTCTCTGAGATCTCAAACCAGTTCTAGAGAAACCAGTGACATCCCTTTCCTAGAGCCAGAGGAGGAAGTAAGAGGCGCACAGACTAGGCACACAGACCAGAGCCACAACGTGCTCCCACTCTGGCTCTGTATCCCAGCGCTCTGCACCCAGACCCTGTCATGTCAGCCAAGGGGCTGAAGGATCACAGACTGCAGTGGAACAGGGTTCAAAGGTGGTCACATTGGGAACTGTGGGAGGGGGGGCACAGGGAGCAGTAGCCCCAACCACTGGCAGGAAGGGCAGCCCCTGCTGAGGGGTGTCTCTGAGAATCACACCAACAAGATTGCAACAACAGCATGAAGGTATCCTCACAGGGGGAAAAACGCAGCCGCATGGCTGACTTGACTTAGTGAACTCGGGGTTCTGTCTCTGTCCAACGTGCATTTCTTACCTAGATGGACTCAAGGGGAACATACTTTTTGCTTTTTAAAAAAGCCAGCTGGGGGACCAGCAGTTAGCGTAATGGCTATGTCGCTGGACTCCCACGTAGTCGACCGCGGTTTGCGTCCCGGATCCGGTGGCTTAAACTCACGTGGGCCCATGTGCGTGCGTGCCCAAGATCCCAAGAGGAGAATGGAGGAGAAGGGATCGTGGCGTGGCCATCCCCCCTGGGGGTGATTTCTCGCTTTCTGTCTCTATGTCTCTGTTTATCTGGTGAGCACATGCGCCCTATAGCAAAAACCTCTCCAAAAAAAAGTCAGCTGGCATATGTGCTTGAGGTGGGGGGAATGAGAAAGCATCCCCCATGGGAAAGGTTACTCCTCAATCCCTTCTTCTCCATCTGCCACACCTCTCAGGACTTTGGGCATGCACACACACGTGCCTGGCACGCTTTTCAAGCTCTAGGTCTGAGACTCCAACTGTGTGAGGTGGGCCATGTGGGATTCAGCTGCTTTAACCACCTTGCCACTGGTTGGCCCAAGCATACTTTCTGAATTTTGCTTTTTGCATAGATCAACACAGATGCACGTTCTCCACATGACTTAATGACCTGTATCCAGCTTTTTGAGAACAGTGAATACCCCTCCACTTTCTGTATGCTTCTCCAGCTTCCAGACTAACCAGCGCACAGATAAGAATCCTTCCCATCCCCACTCGGGGAACGGTTTCCTATCCTCGTGCAGAATAAAGAGAGAATTGGATGTGGAGTTAGTGTGGCCCCAGCTGGAAGGGGGCCACAGGAAACGGAGGCCCAGAGAAGGAAGGTGACATTCTCCAGGTCACACAGGAACTCCTAGCTAGGTTGTTCTCCCCCCACCCCCAATCTGCTCTCTGGATCAAGTGACATGTGGATTCTAACATGGCAGGCGTTGTGCTAGCTTAATCTACACTCACTCTTCCACTAGTCTCTGCAGTAATGCTATCGGGAAGGTTCTATTATCCCCCATTTTTTAGTTGAGAAAACCAAGGCCCAGAAGAAAAGTCACTGTCTAAATTGCCTAGTTGGCCGACGACAGAAACTGTCAGAACCACTTTTCCTGATTGCTGGCCAGGAGCTCCTTCTCTCCCACCAGGCACCCCTTCCTCTCCTCCTGCCTGCCCTGGCCTCTCCTAGGAGCAAGGTCAGGAGCCTCCCGCAGGGCTTTCCTTCCTCGGTGGCTCCGTCCCGGACACCACGGTCTCATCCTGCCTCCTTTCCTGCGCTGGACCAAAGCCCAGAGGAGCAGCTGGGGATGCAGGACTGAGTGGACAGCAGGAAGGAGGCTGGGGCGGCAGGATTCATTCAGAAGAAAACCCAACTCACAGCTGCTCAGGGCCGAGGGATGCTCGCAGGGGCTGTCCCAACACCCCTGCCGGCCCCAAGCTTGGACAATCCTCCTTCCTTCAGATCAGTATCTTTTATCTTCCAGGAGGGGGTGTGGGTATCCCCTGGTCCCAGCTGCTTTATTCCTCCATCTGTGCCAGAACCATCCTTCAAAAGACTCCATCCAACCTTTCCCCATTTTAGAGACAAAGAAACTGAGACTCAGGGAGGAGAGCCTGTGGCGTGGCCCATGCTCACAGGAGAGGCAGAGCCAGGTCCGGAGCAGGTCTCCCTGCTGCCAGTGCAGGGGCTCTGCCCTGGCCCTTCTGCACACTTGTGCTCCCTCTGAACGGGACGAGGGGCCTTCCTCCCAGAGCAGGGTGATCCGGGTGTGCTGTCCTCATGGAGAACGGGGAGACCTCACACCCCACGCCTCCCTGACTCAGGTCCCACCCCTTGGCTTGTTTCCCCACCATCAATCTAGCAGCCAGGGACAGTTTAGGCAGAAGTCCAAGATGCCCGAGTCCTCTAAGGACCTGGTTCTTGAGTGGCCAAGTTGCTCTTGGTCCCAGGAGGTAGAGGCCAGCAGGTAGTCAGTCTTCAGGGCTTGATCATGGCTGAGTGCAGATGTGTGTGGGCATGCGGGTGACGGGTGGCTCCCCACAGATTCCCCCTGCGGCCCACGGTTCATCCCAGCAGGCCCTTCTGAACCCAAATATGGTCTCTCCTCACGGAGCCCGTGCCCTTCCCCCACAAAGGCCTTAGGGCTGAGCCTGGGAGGGAGGGAGGGAGAAGACAGACGAGCCACGTTTCCTTAGGGAGGGAGGAGAAGAGAGAGAGGAGAAAGACAAGCCCAGAGACAGTCACCAAGTCACAAGGAGAGGCAGAGAGAGTCAGCCAGACTTGAGGGACAGAGAGATAGACAGATGGCGACTTAGAGACAGAGATGGAGAGAAAGGCCTCCCTTCTGGGCGAGCAACCTGTGCTGCTTTGATACTCTGAGCCTCACTCAGGTTCTTCCCTGGGGGGCGTCGGGCCTGACTTCCTGGGGCAGCCTCGAGCACAGCTAAGTTTCTGGGTCTGGCCCCTAGTGCGGCAGGGCTCAGGCCCTCGGAACTCTCTCCTGTGCGCCCCCCAGCGGAGATCCATCCGCGGAGCCACCGAGGCCCTAAAGGGGGCGCAGGAAAGGGCGCCGCCACTTTGCGCCCAATCTGGTCCCGGAGCCCTGGGGTGGTGGGGGACTGCTAACCTCCGTGGGTAAGGGGCAGGTTTGGTGTCTCTTATGCTCATATCGGCGGGTCGGATGGCCCTGACGCCTGGAAGTCCCTTTCCCCAGAAGGCGAAGGACAATCTGAATAGGACTGAGCTCCCAGGAGGGGCGCGCGCTGGCGCGAGGTCGGAGGCTCGCGTCCAGGCACCAGGGAAGGTGTCCAGGGATCTAACTGCCAAATCGCGGGGTTCTAAGCACGTGTACCTCCAGAAGACCCCGCACCAAGCCCCCTTCTTTCCGGACTGCCCAATGATGTGCAGTTCAGTCTTTCTGGGGGGCTCAGCGCGCCGCGAAAAGGGGTGCCGAGTGGTGAAATGCGGACAGAGACCTTTCATCTTACCGCATTGTTGAGGAAATCCGACTCGTTCAGATCCCCCAAGTCCAGGAAGCTGGATCCGGGGAACAGCCTGCGTGAGCGCTGGCTAGCGGGTGGGGGGCAGGTCCGGGTCGCAGCCCCGGGGGAGGGGCGGACGGAGGCGGCGCGGCCCGGGGTGGAGGGTGCGGGGGGCGCGGGGGCCTTAGGGCAGCGGCGCGCAGCGGGCTGGGCTCAGGGGCCCCAGGCGCACCGCGGGCATTTAGCCGACTCCTCCTCCTGCTCCTCCCGGGGCACAGCTGGCTTCCATGGGGAGCCCGGGGGTGGGGCTGAGGGCTTGGGGAGCCCCCCGGGCAGGGTGGGAGCCGGGGGCGGGGGAGCTGAGCGCTCCCCCGAGACTGGGTGGCTGCCGGCCGCTCTGCCCTCTCTGTCTCCCTCTGCGCGGCTACTGTCACTTTCCTCTCAGTGAAACTGGGAACCCCTGGCAGGGTAGCCCAGCTGGCCGAGGCGCCACGCCCCCCACATCAATATTCACGATAATTTAATATTAATGAATGCGGGCGTGGTTTACGGGATCGTCCCTCCTCTTTTAAAGAGACATCTGCAACCAGCCAGTCTCCGTTCTCTGAGAAGGTTCAAGGTAGGGGCTTAAAGCAAAATCATCCCGGAACCGATAACAGTGTTCTGGAACGCCGGTATCTGGCTAAGGTTTCACCTACCAGTCGCTGCTCCCTGATGATGAGGGAGCTGGGTTATTTCCGTTCTTCCGACCTTCAGGTTGGAGCCTGAACGAAGTCAGGAAGTTCCATTTCTGAACCCCAGAACAGTAATCCCCTCCATGGGGAGATTTTCAGCCCCTCTTCTCTCACCTCCTAGCTCATGTATTTTCCTCGTTCAGGAAGCCTTCCCTACGGCTGGAGCAGTTGCCATCCCTGCACGCAGGGTGCTTCACGTGGACCTCTGTTTTGAGTCTCAGGCGACCCTGTCATCATTTGCCCACTGAATTGCAAGACCCCCCAGGGCAAGGACTGTACCCAGCTTCCCTGGGTGTGAAAGGGTTGCGCGGACTCGAGGTGAGGCCAGTGCCCCTCCTCTCCCCAGTCATCGGGTCCCCCATCGCTCTGAAGAGCAGGAAGTTGGAGAACAACGAAGGTAGAATCTGCCTGGCCAAGGCGCTGCGCACTCCAGTCGCCGCTCCCAGGCCCCCTGGATCCATTACCTAAGTGGCTCGCTCCTGCTCCTGCGTACAACTTAATCTCTTGAAAGGGCTGATAAACAATCGCCAAGCACCTGAACAAATGGGGGTGGTGCTGAAAGGCGCACCCGCGGAGGGCTGGGCACACTGTTTCCTGCCCAGAAGTCATTAATAGGATTAAGTGTGTCCTCCCTGTCTGGGGCTTTTAATTAGCTCAGGAACCAAAAGGCCTTTCAAAAGTAGAGCTGTCATTGCAGCTAAGCCCTGGATGTCACCAAAATTGCCCTCTCAGTGCCAACATGGGAGACAGGCCCTCGGGAGGCTGAGACAGGGGTTGTTTGCTTACTCAGGGCAGGCTGGCAGGCACGTGGCTCTCCCCCTCTCCTGAGCCAGTTGACACAGTTCTGGAGACTCAAGTTCTGACCCTCCAGGCTGTCACATGACCGTTCCTCCTGGGAAGTTTGCTCCTGAGAGGTGGCTATTGTAGCACTGTGCAGTGGGGACCGGTTCACCCCAATGCAACTCTGAGAAGTCAGGCTAGGCCAAAGAGAAATCAGCTCTTTCTCAAAACAATGGCAGATAGAATTAGGGTACAAGCGCCATGGTTGTTTCCCCCGAATGTGTCCCATCGGACCAACTGGGGAACACCCAAATGCTGGCACTGTGGCTGACCCTTCTCACGGCCAGGAGAGTGGTCTCTGGCTGGCTGAGCGAGCCCTGTGTCCTGGGACAGCTTATGGTAGCAGGTGTCTGGAATCCTGGCTCCTGAGCCGGAGTCCCTGCAGGCCCCCAGGAGGAGCAAAAGTGCCCCTCTGCCTGAGGCTGGCTGGAAATCCCGCCTGTGTTCCTCCCAGCCTGCGCTGTAATTAGAGATACAGGTACCATTTAAGTGATTGGGGAAGATTACATAGTTTTAGATAAGTAGGATTAGAGCGTCCATTTTGTTTTACCCAGGTGAACACCCCAGGAAACCATTGAAAATAATCCTGGGGAGACATTCTGGTTCCGGCACCTCCTGTGGAGTCTGAGAGGCAGGCTCTCCTGAGAGAAAGCCTGAGGCAGGCAGTGAGGAGGCACAGGCAGGCAGAGCCTGACTTAGGAGGAGCAGGACAACTTTTTATTTTTTCTTTTGAATAAAGGGGATGGTAAATTCCAGCAGAGAGGATGATGGGGGGTTAATTCACACACACTGCAAGTACATCAAGCATTTATTATGAGCAGTCCCAGAGGTGATTAAGACCCTATTTCCCGGGGCTAGCTGGTGGTGTGGTGGTTAAGGGACTGGACTCCCACATGGCTAACCATGGTTCAAGTCTTGGATCGGACAGCTTGCTCTGTCACTTTCTCTCTCTCCCTCTCACTCCTTTTCTCATCAAATAAAATAATAACAAATAAAGTAAAATAAATAAATACATTTTTTAAAAAAGAACTGGGACCAGCAGTTGGCGTAATGGCTATGTTGCTGGACTCCCATGTAGCCGACTGTGGTTCAAGTCCTGGACCCGGGCGTGTGTGTGTGTGTGTGTGTGTGCGCGCGCGTGCCCAAGATCCCAAGAGGAGAATGGAGGAGAAGAGATTGTGGCGTGCCATCCCCCTGAGGGTTAATTTCTTGCTTTCTATCTCTGTTTCTCTCTGTCTTTCTGGTGAGCACACACACTCACCAGAACAAAAACCTTTTAAAAAAAAAAAAAAAAGAACCTACCTCCAGAGTGAATGCGGTAGTGTGGATGTGGGTGGGTAGAAGAAAGGATGACTAAAACATATCGGGAGATCATTTCGGATAGGGATAGGGTCTGAGAAGACATAAGAGCGTGCTGTGTTGGGGCCGGCAGGTGGTGTGGTGGTTAAGGGTGCTGAATTCCCACATGGCCTACCGCAGTTCGATATCCAGACCTGGCTGCTTGCTTTCTCACTTTCCTTCTCTCTCTGCTCCTCTCTGGTCAGGCTAAAATTAAAAAAAAAAACAGTTAAATAAAGTAATTCTTTAGAAAAGATAGTGTGCCGTGACTGTGTGGGCGAGGAAAGCTTCGCTGAACACGCCGCATGTGAGCTGAATCAAGCACTGGGGTCACTCATGGGTCAGAATGGAGGGAAAGCAAGCAGAAGAGGAAGGAAGAGGGACGTCTAGCTGGAGCGGCAGGCCTGGTGCAGGGGTGAGAGGTGGAATGTGGAATCCCAACGCCCTGCACAACGCCCGTACTGATGGGCACACGGAGACCAAGGCCGTACGCAGTACTGGACAGAATCGTGGGGCGCAGACCAGAGGACTCTCCTAAAGCCTTCTGTGGGTGGTGGCCTGCAGTGCATCCTTCTGTCACATCTCAGAGCTGTCCCAGGAGAGGAAATGAGATGGCTCCGCGGGTCTGAAGTCTGGTTTCCGACCTAACAGGCCAAGTCTCACTCACGTCCCCTCATTGCCACTGGTCCCTGACTCAGCCCCTGATGGTCCCTTGTTTGAAGGGATCAGGGGACACTTGCAAACACCACCTCCAGGTTGAGAAAGGTGTGAACTGCAGCCCCTCCAGTTATGGGCTCAGGACACCTGGTTCCCCAGCAGCTGCCCCAGCTGGGAAGCCAATGCTTCATGCATGAAGACAGCCTGGTCCAGTCAGTGACGCACAGCAGAGAGAGGACAGAGATAAACTTCCTGCCTGTCCCAGACATGTGAGAGTCAGGTGGAGACAGAGGCTCCTGCCAGGCTGAGCTGTGACAGGCATGGTATATGCAGGGGAGAGGGGCTTGGCTGGGGGCTGCAGCACTTTGACATCATTGGAGAGTCATCGCCCTTCTCTGGGTCTGTTTCCATGGCTATAAAGTGAGGGAGGGGGGACCTGACGGTTGGTGCGGTCAGAAGCAATTCTCTGAGAGGCTGACCCACATGGGAAAGGTCTAGGCCCACGTCTAGAGGCTGCCCTGAGCACACCAGGCGTGCGTGTGCCCGCCATCCAGGGCCGCTGTAGCTGGGGATGGTCCATGGCATCAAGACCCTATGAGAGGGACTGTCTCTCTTACCCACAAAATGAATAAATGCATAAATAAGCTTTCTTTAAAAAAATATTTGTGCTATAGGGTATACGTGTATGCTGGAGAGACAGAGAGATAGAAAATGAGAAATCACTCCTCAGGGGGAATGGCCACACCCCAATCCCTTCTCCCTTCCTCCACACTCCTCTTGGGATCTTGGGTACGCACACACACGTGCCCAGCATGAATTTCAAGCCACCGGGTCTGGGACTTGAACCGTGATCAGCCATACCT